TTATTCCAGTTTGATGACAGATTAAGTCAGAGATTGAAAATTGAGGATAAAGGAAACCATTTCTCTGAAAATTTATCAAAATTATTGTTCCTTCTGGATATGAATTTTTCAACCGTGTAAGTGTCTTTCAAAATCTTTAAGAAATTATTAACGTTTGGAATTATTTTCTTTAAAGTGCAATTATATATATCTTGTCTTTTAGCAGAAAAGATTATATGATTTAGCAATGGCTTATTACCCAAAATTCCAAACCAAACCAAAGTCTTTGTTATTTCAAATTTCTGTATGTTTTGGATTATCCAATTTTCAAGTTCTTTCCAGAAGGTTTTGGTTACATTACATTCCCAATATACATGACATAAAGTTTCACTATCCACATTACAAAAGCTACATACTGTATTGTCAACAGGTTTCATTTTCGAAAATTCTTTTGTTTTGTATAAATTATAATAATAAAAATAGAAAAATGTAATTTGAAAATCTAAAAGTTTTACATCTTTCAAATTGTTTCTGCAAATATTAAAAATCATACGCCAATCAAAATCAATATCATAAAATAAGTTTTCCCATTTTAGGCAAATATGACGTTTAATATTGTCAGATAAGAGTTTATCATAAAATAATCTTGAACCTTTTTTTCAAATCCATAAAATCTTTATGAAGAAAGTTATTATCCAGATCATTGTTATGTATATTTCTGTATTGTTTTATGGTCCTTTTCATGATTCAGGTATGATATACAAAACATATCCAAGATCCTTATACGTACCTCTAATATCAAATTTGAGCTTCAGGTCTTCAAAAGACATAAAACCATCTTCATTACAAAGGTCCTTAATTGTTAAAATTCCATTTTTAGCACAATGCCTAATAAAGTGATTTTGGGGTTTTGAAATTATCATTATGAAAAAAAGCCCGGGCTTACACATGGTTTTGAAAATGAAAGTTGGGCAAGGCCTCAACACTAACTAAATATAAAGCTTTGCAACCTATCGGGCTTACACGAAAAACTTGGCTTGCTACGCGCCTGCAAATTGCTTAAAAGCATGTGCAAATATCGTGCATGTGAACACCTGCGTTTTGGTGTAAAGTTTTGTTATGAATTCACCAATTTTCACTGATTTTTATCATTTATTGAACTCATGACAATAATCTTATCAAAATTACGAATATGTTTTTACAATACATCAGTTCATGTGTAAACAGTACCTTTAAACAGTATGGACTATTTTGCAAAATTTAGTGAAGAACCACGAAGTCTAAAATATTGATGTGAAGTATATATAGAGGAGCGCCGAACGCCTGGGGGAACGCTGTCGATCTCTGGAGGAGCGCTGGTCATCCCTGGAAGTAGAGTGCCGTTCAGAGGAGCGACGTTCCGAGCGTTGGCAAAATTCCTTCTCTAGAAGTGCAACAAGGAGGCTCATGTTTGTCCTGAAGTATGGCACCATGGCAATCTGAACATAGAGACTGTCAACAGAAGTTCTAAAAGACCCACGACAAAGTTTTCAGTTAAAAGGTAAGAGAAGAAAAAAAACGTACAATAACACATAAAACGTAAGTTTACAAGCAAAGATGTGAGCAACTTTATGGATGTCAACTTCTTTATTATTCTTCATAATAGAGAAGTTGACATCCATAACAATTCTCTTCCTTATGTGTATCACTTCCAAATGCCATTCAAAGACAAAGCGACAATGTGACATCACACTATTAGCTATGCATGTGGAAACCACGCCCAGAAGTAGCCGCCATATAATCAAGAACGTGAAAATAATTGTGAGGAAAATACGCGAAAATTGTGACAAAAAGGAGAAAAAAGGTTCCCAAAATGGTCAAGCAAGGACAAAAAAGTCCAGACTAACCAGAAGAGTACTGTCCAGCCAGAAACCCCCCCCCCCAGCAAATGGTGAGTAGAATTGTTACATCATGGTAAGAGTGAGTGAGCGAGTCAACGAAGGACAGTAAAATAACTGGATTATCACAGATTCGTCTTTAAAACTAGTAATTCAATCTAAAACAGTTTAACTATAGATGACAATACAAGGTAAAAACAGGCTATATATTGCCAACAACTGAAGGGAGATCACCATACGACATCATGGTATAAATATGTATCCGACGCGACGTAGGGCCACTATTCAAGGTAAGTTAGACATGATGGTAAACTAGTACTCCCCTTCTTACAATGTATGTAAAGGTAATATCACACCTAAATTCCAGTCAGACGGATACAAGCCCGAAACTAAAATTGCATTAAACGAAAAACGTAGCATAAGGATACAATATTCTGGGACGTTCTTGAAAAAATCAGTACCAATACCACTGAAACCTGGGGCCTTGCCAGACTGCATTCCCGATATCGGTAACCTCTTGAAGGGATATTTCCCTATCTAGAACTCCCCATCAACAGTGTATTAAACAAGGTCTCTATCAATGGAATCAACATAAGTCCTGACAATATCATAGAACTCACTTTCAACATTTGAAGTACGAACCCCTTTGAATAGATTTTTAAAATGATCAATCCACTCTGAAGGCTTAATGTGACTAAACCCCACGTATGTCCTTTGTTTTAATGTTCTCCAAAATAACATCGTTTTTATATCTAAAACATTATTAAGTCTATCCACATAGATTTGGAATTAAATAGACGTTTTAGATGAACAAAGCTGTTTGTAACACCACCAGCAAGTCTTAGACCTTGCTGGTAGACAGAATCTAATAGTTTTAGGTTGCTTTTGCAGGCTCCATTATATACGTATTTTTCAAACCATGCATTTTAATCGCAGAATATGTGTCCTGTTAATGTTTGGCTAAATGGTAGCAAAAGTACTGTTAGTCCTCATGGTCCCTAGTATGGTGATTTATCTTCAGGCGTTGGTGATCTGTGGCTCGTTTTTAATATTATATTGCCCAAATAGTCATATCTCAATTTGTGATATTCTTGTTGTTTTACTGTCAATTGACGACAGATTGTATACTCCAATAATTTTTATTGATAACTTATGAACTTGTGGCTGAAATATTGCCGATGTGACTATTAATTTTAGCTCACTCAGTCACTCACTAAATCTCTATCTCTAAACTGGTTGTTTTACAGTCGGCATAAACTACAGGGCAAAAGAAAGTTATTACTTTTAAAGTAACCGTATAAAACACAAAAACACTGGTACAGGTTTGAATGCAAGCAGAAAACTTTCCCCAAAACACAACATGGTCCTGATAACACTGTACGAATGGGTGCATATTTTTCAAAACGTGAAAAACGTCATTGTGGGACATTGGTCCAAATGCACGTGCATAATTGTGGCATAAATACTCATGTTTGAGAGGGCAAGCATGCCGCTACCAAAAAATACAAAACAAAAACAACACATATGCCAAGACTTACGCAAGGGCAACGAGACATGGCAATCGGTATGGCTAACATGGGGCTTCTGAAAAACCCTAAACTGCGCCGATAACAGCAAACAGGCGAGAGCCACGGCCGCCCAAGATCGGGAAGACCAATAGTCACGACACCTACCGAAGACCGCTACATCCGGCATTTTGTAATAAACCTCTCTCTTAGTTGTGAATAGGATTCACAAATGAACAGTACATGAAATTTATCTTCAATATAGGTAAGACCTTTAGATTTACATGATTTACAAAATCTTTGATTATAATCAGTGTTGTTATAACGCCCAGTTTCTACAGCTATTTTAAAGTTACTACACCTAAATTGTGCTAAAACAGCTCTTAAATGTGTAGAAAGGTTAAACGATAAATAACGTTTAACATTTAATGCAGATTTAAAATACTGGTAATAGTTGCATTTGGGGGAATTACTCAGGGAAGAGTACCAGGAATGTTTTAAATTATCTGATAATCTTTGTTTAAATAAGCTTATAAACATCTTGACATCACCAACATCTTGGCTCAACCAAACATATCCAAAACCAAAATTAAAAAGAAGACTTTTAACTTTTGATGCCCATGTTGTTCTACCACTATCATCTAATGACTTAAGCATAAGGTAGCTTTGAAAAGGTAATCTGTCATGAGGAAGTTGTAACAATCTACACCAATATTTGATTACACGGGTCATATAATTACACTGCATAGGCAATCTGCCACATTCACCCAGGGCCATGGAATTACAAGATGACCTATTTATTTTAAGATACTTTTTACAAAAATCAAGCTGTACCGATTCAATACTTTTACAATAAGAAGTTCCCCATATTTCTGAGCCAAAGCATAATATTGGCAAAAGAAAGTTATTACATTTAAAGAAACCGTATAAAACACAAAAACACTGGTACAGGTTTGAATGCAAGCAGAAAACTTTCCCCAAAACACAACATGGTCCTGATAACACTGTACGAATGGGTGAATATTTTTCAAAACGTGAAAAACGTCATTGTGGGACATTGGTCCAAATGCACGTGCATAATTGTGGCATAAATACTCATGTTTGAGAGGGCAAGCATGCCGCTACCAAAAAATACAAAACAAAAACAACACATATGCCAAGACTTACGCAAGGGCAACGAGACATGGCAATCGGTATGGCTAACATGGGGCTTCTGAAAAACCCTAAACTGCACCGCTAACAGCAACCAGGCGAGAGCCACGGCCGCCCAAGATCGGGAAGACCAATAGTCACAACACCTACCGAAGACCGCAACGTCCGGCAGATCCACCTTCGGAGAAGATTCGTGATTCGGTTATACTGTGTATAAATGTTAAAAAGCCATTCGATTTCACGGAAAAAAACCAGTTATCCGGATATCCTCTCTATTGTATTTTCAAATACTGTTTGGCCACACGTGTGTACATCTTGCAGCAGTGATCGAAACATAATACAAATAATGTAAATCCAAAAATAACAACAAAACACAATGGCATTGTGTATTCACACCAAAACAGTTCAGCAACAAAGAGATTTATTACAGGTGGAAAGACAAAACCCAAACCCCATAAATACGCAAGCCTATACATTCAATTTTAATTCACAGTTTGGTAAGACTTGCGATAGCACTAGGTACTGTGTAGTTAAACAGCTGAAAGTCTGGATAATACTTTCGCCACACATGCTCTAGGAGGGAGGGCGGAATGTCTTGGTAATAGTGTCTGAGAAGTCTGTTCGTCTTCTCAGTCAGATAAGTATCTGATCGCTGAGGAAAGGTGACATTGGATGGTGCGCCTATGTGATCCAGTATGGTTTGGGCAGTTGTCTGTAACTCCTCATATTTACCAATCAAGTCGTACTTAATGTTACACACCTGGCAAAGGTCTTCCTGTAGCTGCCAGTGCTCATTGAATGTCCGTGTATTCGTTTTCACGATATATTCTAGAAATTCGGAGAATGACGGATGAGGGTCTTTATTGTGGGAATTATTCCTGTACTTCCTTGCAATGCTCCTACCAATGGATGCAAACATCCCTTCATTGGTTGCAGCCATTTTGCTCCGATAAGCTGATAGGAGTCTCTCAAATGGTTCACGTACAAAAACAAACTTGTAATAGGTCCTCAGCACTTCATCTATTTCCGCGGGTTGAAGAGCTGATAGAAAGGTGGTATACTTTTCATACTTGTGGTGAATGTCATTCCCATTCATCTTTAGCTTGAGGGATGGGCTCATTTTGCTGGAGAGCATGAGAAATACACGTTTCCAATTCGTTGTGGCGATCTTCGGAATTTCACAGTAGAGAACCTTGTACCGATGATCCACAATGATCCTGGGGTAGGCACGGTTAGCTCGATCAGATGTCAACCTCATTTCCTTGCACTTTTTCTCAATCGAGTTTCCATCCTGTAATAATGAATAATTCACGTCTGTACATGTATTTAACCAGTTAAATAAACAACGTTACACTTATAAAATGCGGTATTGCTTTTCTGTTTTGTGCGTTGCTTAAAATGGGAAATTATTATTTGGCAAAATATTGCTATCTTCCTAATTGTTGCTGGTTTATTAGATAGAAAAAGCTGGTTCGTTTTGGACATATTAGGGTTTCTACAGCAATAGTTGCTGATATGTTTTTCCCTCTTAGAATCAAGATAGGGCATATAAACAGAAAGTGAAATTCATCTCCAATATCGTGTGAATAACAAAGAGAGCGTAGTCTTTCATTTGGGGCGTTTTAAGCAACCTGTAGTGCTTCTGCTTCCAACAGGAGTTACGCCATCACTTTGGTCACCAATGGACGTACGTTATGCTAATTCATTTAAAAACAACAAAATACTATCTAGGAATTCAAACACTAGTTGGTATACTATGATTCCGAAGAACTCACGTGCCACGTGCCATGAATGTAACAGTACTTTAACCGCCTTCTATAATCTCAGGTGGTGATAACACCACACCAGTTTAAAACAGTCACGTATTCACAATATATCAAGAATGAAATTAACACTGTCATTCGTGAAAGATCCCCTTCACTTTTTAACAAATATGCATTACTAAAACGCGTGTGGCCAATTCAAAATCGCATACTTCATCACGTCTTGATTGACATCCCAATATTTATAACCTTAAGTTTGTTAAGTTTCATGAAGTATATTTATACCTGCTATGTTTTCCTCTTTGTTTGCATTAAATGTTCAATATAATCTCTGACATAGGGTTTAAAATCAAAATATTTTATCAGAAGAGGCGCGATGGATTTGCAAAGATTTGTGACCAGCAAAGGAGGATGTTGTATTTCTTACGATTTCAGTCTGGCCCTTAGGTAAGGAAACAGTTCATTGTACAGTTCTAAAGTATCACATGTTTTATAGATGGATCATTAAGTGCCTAAAGACAGGAGATAGAATCAGAGAAAATGAGAAATTTCTTAAGTTTAGTTTGGTTCTGAATGTATCAATGTATTATTTAGATTGCCTTGGCTTCAGGAGTGAAAATAAAACTATTATCTGAAATACTGGAAGATATGATTTTAGGTGCAACGGCAGTTGCATTTGAAACCTGCCACCATCCTTGGACGGTGGTGTGGTCTACTCCCATTTGTGAGAACTCCCAGTTGTGAGACAGTGGAGTAGGTAATTAGCAAAGAAAACACACCTTACTCCCCTATCTGATAGAATGGGTTAACCCCAGCTAATTATGGATTAGCTATTCAACTGAATCTTGTGGAGTTAACTTAATGAAACTCTAAAAGATAAAGTAATTAACCTACTCAGATAAATGGCTTTAAAAAATAAACACTTTGTGTAGATAACTTCGTGACCATTTGAAAGAGAAATAAATTTACCTACTCAGATTTACGTGTTTGCAAAATCTAGCAATAATTGTTGTAACTATAATTAATCCAAATGTATTTATTAACCTTGACTGCTCTTTCCGATCACCATTATGGCAGACCATCAACAAGTAGAATACATTTCCAGTTCACGATAATCTTTTTCAGTATTTCAGTATCTAATGAAAACGATAAATGCTCCTCAACGAACAATATCTTCTGTGTTGATTAACTCATTAATGAACTATGCCTCCTGCGGGTACTCTTCAGCAACAGGGCTGTTCCCACTTTCATCGTAGGGATGGGGAAGCACCACCTGTGTGCACTGAACCATTAATTAATGTGTCTCACAACTGGGAGTTCTCACAACTGGGAGGACACCCATATGTAAAGAATTACAATTGGTTAGAATTGGTCTTGTCAGAAAAAAAACATGCTGTCGAAAGAGGCGAATATAACTAGCAGGATCGGATGATCAGACTCTCTGACTTGGTCAACCCATGTCATCGTATCCAAAGTGTGTAGATCGATGCTCAAGCTATTGATCACTGGATTACTTAGTCCAGACTCGATTATTATTATTATTATTGGTGTCAGATCTTATAATGTTAACTTAGTGAGCAAAAGATATACTACAGGCCCAACTAACGGCAAAGGAGGTGTGGATAGTAGTCGGTATTGAGAAATTATACCTATCGCAATATAACATTCTATAAAACTGTTTTACCCGAATTCCAAACGGCGGTACACGTTTAGGTCTATTTAACATCTGTCCTTCTAGGGAGGAGTGAGTGAGCTTAGCCTTACGCCGATTTTATCACTTTTACGGCAGGCGACACCAGAAATGAGCTGCACACAATGTACCCATGTGGGGAAGCGAACACGGGTCTCCAGCATGACGAGCGAACGCCTTAACCACTAGACTACCCACCGCCCCTTCTAGAGAGGATGAAATACACAATTACAGTCTGGATCGGATGTGTTTAACATCTCTTAGTTTCATATTGATGGGATAATCTTAAACGACGTTGATGAGGGAAGGTTTATCAGCATCAACGTATGCACTCTCTACTGGAGATGTTCCAAATGCTCCAAGACAAGAACCTCAGTTCTTTGTGGTGGATACTATGTATTTTTGTATATTACTTTTGAAGTTCCACCATATACAATGAAATCGTAATCGAGTTTAGATAGAATAAGGTATATATATGTATAGGTGAAGAAAGGTTGTCTAATCAAAACCCGTGTTAGAATTAGCAACAACATTCAGTAGATCAAGAGCTTTCAAGCCCTACATATCCCAGACAGTCTGTTAATTGTAATTCTTAAAATGTTCCAGACAATATACTCTGTGGGACACCCTGATCCTCATTATTATATTCAGACAGCTTTGTTCCAACGCGAATTTGAAATTGTCTATCTGTTACAATATTGGATAGTCATTGAGACAGATGAGATCGCAAGCCTAATGTAATCTTTTCTAAATATCATGCTTCCAAGTGGTAGAATAAGCTTTTTCGTGATAAAAAAGTTTATACAGCATGTTGTTTGGCAAAATAATTTGATCAATTGTACTCCGGTTTTTACAGAAACCATACGACGGTGTAGTGGTAAGAGCGTCCGCCCGGAGAGCGGAAGGTCGCAGGTTCGATCCCCGACCACGTCATACCAAAAGACGTTAAAATATGGTGCTTGTTGGTCCCTCCCTGGCGCTTGATATTAATGGGTACAAGAAGGACTGGTCGGCTCGGAGTCAGTATAATGTGTCTGAGTGGGGTATTCATGCTTCACTGAGGCATGGTATCTCAGTGGGCTAGCACTATAAAACCAGCTTCAGTCTGGGCTAGTACAAGCAGCCGCACATACACACGCATGCACGTCGTCATATGAGCGAAATATTCTCAAGTACGACGTTAAACCCAATTTCACCTCACCTCACTTTCACAGAAACCATACTCAATATAAAGTATTGGGTTGTTGATTTCTAAACAAAATAAACAGATAACTGACCATGTACTTCGTGGTTTAACAAACGCAGCTAGTCAAAGAAATAAGCCGATAATTTGATGGATGTATATGAGTATTGGTCTAGAAGCCAGACCCCCCAAATGGTGAAAATGTGGTGCAGTTCTGGCGACCGAATGGAATGTGATTTTTCACAATCAGGAATGATTTAGCTTTGATTTAAAGCCGGTTGTCATCAGCTACCGTGCGTGACTACCGTACAGAGGCCCTTTTAAGGTGCAACATGTCATGTCAGTTATGGCAATATTTTAACCGATAACTGGATGGTTTAATTTAATAACTCTGGTTTGGTTTGACCGATTATCATAACAAAAATAGTTTTTGAATGCTCAGACCATGATTTAAAATTGTGGACAACGATCTTACATATATGCTCATCGCAAACATATTTTGGTAAGGTCAAAGGTCAGTTTTAATAGAATGGGCATTTGATGAGAAAATGTGAGTTGAACTTTACAAATTAAAGGTCATTTTCCCAAAATTATGTGTTTCTGATTCAGTTATATCATTTGAAGATCATATATACCTTTGGTTGGCATTGTATTCATGAAAAACCATTACAAGGAAATAAAGGTTGGTACTTTGTATTTAGATCAGCAAAACATAAGATAATTTCAGCTCTATGCTTTACAAAGTATCAACAATACTAAATATGTCGAAGATACTGTTTACTATCATACAAATTTTCGTTTATTGACATTCTAGCAGAAACAACAATTCAGCTGATGTCAGAAGGAGATATTGCTCTGACATGCTGTGAAACCCTTAAAGCTGATGGATAATAATATGACATCCTAATGGAAGGTTTACAATTGACATTATGGTGTTCCATTTTTTCTGTTTACAATGTGAAATATGAAATACAATGTGACTTTGGTTTTATTCATTTATTTTACACCGGCAATCATTGATACATTGTAAAAGATATGACACACTGATCAGAAAGGCGTTATGGTATCTTACCACCAAATATACACACAGTCATGTCATCATAACACAAGCAACATTGCCTTCATATCAATTAGTATTTATTGTTCTTAATAGTCATAGTGTATTCCCAGTTGACATGTTAGTCAATGTCAACATTGTCAAGATCACGGGAACATGTTTTATGTCCACATCCACATGTCGAAGCACACAACAAGTTCAACCTCTTGCAGTTACACCTTCCTGTACATTGGCGTTTATATGCACAGATATGTTGAAGAAGGTCCACGGAAACGATTTAGTCTTAACTTATTTGCAACCTTATCACAGAGGAACAGAGGAATATTTGATGAAGATATATTACGAAAAAACGTACTGCCTTAAATACAAAACATTAAGTGCCTAGTTTTGTGGACAACTCAAATAGAAATTCCTAGACAATATTCATATAACCACTTGCTTCTACTGTAACTTTCATAAAAATATGCAAACCTCGGTTTTAGTAATATGTAATGATATACACAAAAGAGTTACACATAGCATGATCATGACACTATGAGCATCGATCTTCACAAGTGGGATACGA